CCAGTAAGCGGTCGAGACAGAGACAGATGAGAGGACATAATTATACATATACGAATGGATTAATTCGGTGCGTTCAGCGGGTGTCGTCGTTTGGGCTGACTATAGGGAGAAGGGCGATACCCTCTAGTCGGTAACCGGAATTCCTCGTCTTTCGATAGCTGTCTGTGTTCTCCGTGGGGTAGTTTTCATGATGCTACGGTGTGTGTATGTGTTTTTGTGAAGGCCTTCTAGTGTAGCCACCATAGTAAGTTGGGTATTCCCGACAAGGGAAATAAATATAACAAGGTTTCCATAAATTGAAAGAAGGATGTAAAGGATTCATGTTCCTACCGATCGCAGTGAAGAGTTGCATCACGTTCGTCGCCGTTTTCGCGGAAGTCTCCATAAACAGAAGACCGTGCTCTTGAGCGTACGCTTCTGCGTCCTAAAAGGAGATCAAGGTGACCAATAAGCGCCTCTAAAACCATCGAAATCAATAAGAGAATTTACAATAGGATAGTACCACTAATCAGACACTAATTGGCTACTTGGTTTTGGTGGTGGTGGGGATTAGGATGATAGGGAAGATAAAGGAGCTTGACGTGAACTCCGCCGCAAAGTAACCATGTCAACCACTTTATGTACAAACAGACATTAGTGAATAACTCCCCTTATACTACAGTATGGGAAGACCGAAGAAAACGTAATTTTGACTGCAGTCATAACCAGCGGAAACAATGACGATCCCGAAAAGGACTGAACAGAGATTAATTAAATGTAGAGCTTAAAACCCATATAAGGCAGTCAAGAGTGGCGTAGCCAGAGGATGACACAGAGGGAGGAAAGGGGTACCTGTGTGGACACCAGACGCTGCTGATGGAGATCACACTTATTGCCAGCTAGAGCAATGACCTTCACGCCTGGAGCCCGATCGCGAAGTTCGGTGACCCATTCCATTGCACGGTTGTAGCTCTGAACATTGGTGATGTCGTAGACGACGACTGCTGCCTGTGCTCCACGGTAGTACATTGGCGCCAGACTGTGATAACGTTCTTGGCCTGTACAGGAAAGACGAAATGAGATGCAGATAGGACAGGGAACTTAAACGGATGATCTATGCATGCGTGTGTGTGTGTGTAAGGAAGCGA